AAAAATATACAAGCCATGAACAAAGAGAAATTGGGAGAAAGTCTTTAGTATGGAAAAAGTTCTGTATGTGTGATATGGATTTAAAAAACTAATCTGAATTTAACTTAGGGGTGGTAATAATTAATTCTGCATTTAATTTGGCTTTTCAAAGTTAAGCTTTGTTTACTGATATATGGAAGAGAAAAGTATATAATGAGTTTGGGTACAGTTGGTAGTCTAGGTAGTCTAGTAGGTAACCAGTCCGTCAACAGCAACAGAGAACAGAATTAAAATGGATCAAGGAAAACGTTGTGAAAATCACCAAGACCAAACGGAAGATTTACAGGTAAAGTTTTGTTTTTATTTTAGCTATACTACAACGGTCTTGCTGCGTTCTGTCCAACGCGGGAATCGAGCCCCGTATTTTAACATTGTAAGCCCGTAAGCTTATCGCTGACTTAGTTTGGGACCGTAAGTTTGAGAATACATGGTTTATAACAAAATTACATATGTTTTTTCACGTATTCTTATGTTTACTTCTGTCAATACAATAACCTTGAACTGAAACGGTCATCAACTAGCAGTTCAAGGTCAAACCTTCTTTTAAGTTTTTTATTTTCTTTGATTTTAGTTTCGGTATTCTGTTCAAGCTACGCCTGACGACATTAAACATTACATGTGTAACTCTTCTGTGTAACACTGTTTTCACCAAATCTGTATCGGCTGGGCCCGGCATGGTCAGGTGGTTAGGGCGCTCGACTCGCAATCTGAGGGTCGCGGGTTCGAATCCTCGTCACACCAAACATGCTCGCCCTTTCAGCCGTGGGGTCGTTATAATGTGACGGTCAATCCCACTATTCGTTGGTAAAGGAGTAGCCCAAGAGTTGGCGGTGGGTGGGTGGTGATGACTAGCTGCCTTCCCTCTAGTCTTACACTGCTAAATTAGGGACGGCTAGCGCAGATAGCCCTCGTGTAGCTTTGCGCGAAATTCAAAACAAACAAACAAACTGTATCAAACAGACGAGTTTAAACCCTGTCATAGAAAGCCGTGTGTGTCATATTAACGATATCAAGTATCAAAGAGACGAGTATGACCAGTATGATTTTTGATTGTTTTTAAAATAACCTAACGTCACATAAAATCTACTCATATGTTGATAGTCTCGTCTCTCAATCCTCAGTTATATTAAAACACCTGAAACCTGCATTTACCTCATGTGCGAAGCTGAAATATTTTCTTCCTTCAAAAATTGTTATTTTGTTAAACCCTTATTTAAATAGTGTTAAGTTTTGACAACACTACGGGTCTCTCGTACTTTTGTCATACAACGATATTGTCATTTTCAAGGTTGTTGAATATTTAATTTCGTATGAAAATACTGGAATTTTATAATTTGCAAGAAGTCGTTTCTAAACTTCAGCGGAAAGATCCAGTAAGAGAAAATGAAGCTTCTGATTTTCGACCTGAGGTCATTTGTTACATTAGTATTGAACAAAAGGGAACCGTTCAGTGACTTCAAAATTTGTATAAGAGATGACAGCGCGTTAGAAGATGACACAGATAATAGGAACTATTTTTATTCCTTCTACAATGGCCATGAAAATCTTCTTTTGATAGAAGAACAAAGATTTTTTTTTTAACTTTAGAAATCCAACAACGTGTAATCACTATTCTGACGTCATTTCATTACGTCAGTCAATTCAATTTCAAGTGGTTTATCGAGATACGTCCGGGAAAACTGTTTTTATAACTTGTTATTGATAAAGCAGACTTGACATGATTTTATTATCACGCACAGTGTAGTTCTACACCTAGTGAGTCCACAGAGTGAAGAAAACCGAAAATATCGAAGCCAAAGATAGAACAAATTTTCAGTGAAAAACGGTGTCATACAAGCACTGAACTTTTATACAAGCTTAAAGGTATATTGTGTCGAACTCCCCTCACTTTACAGAACTTACTTATACCACCCCCTGACATGTTCCCATATAATCCCGTGACATTTACACAGTGTTCCTGTATCTTACCCTGGCTTTACACATGTTCCTATATAATTCCCTAATTTTGCACAAAGTTCCTGTGTTATCCCCAGACTTTATCCCACGTTTCTGTATAATCCCCTGACCTTACACAAAATACCCTAGTCATGACCTTACACAGCATACCCTAGTCATGACCTTACACAGCATACCCTAGTCATGACCTTACACGACATACCCTAGTCATGACCTTACACAGCATACCCTAGTCATGACCTTACACGACATACCCTAGTCATGACCTTACACAGCATACCCTAGTCATGACCTTACACAACATACCCTAGTCATGACCTTACACGACATATCCTAGTCATAACCTTACACGACATACCCTAGTCATAACCTTACACAACATACTCTAGTCATGACCTTACACGACATACCCTAGTCATAACCTTACACAACATACCCTAGTCATGACCTTACACGACATACCCCAGTCATGACCTTACACAACATACCCTAGTCATGACCTTACACGACATACCCCAGTCATAACCTTACACAACATACTCTAGTCATGACCTTACACGACATACCCTAGTCATGACCTTATACGACATACCCTAGTCATGGCCTTACACAACATACCCTAGTCATGACCTTACACGACATATCCTAGTCATAACCTTACACGACATACCCCAGTCATAACCTTACACAACATACCCTAGTCATGACCTTACACAACATACCCTAGTCATGACCTTACACGACATATCCTAGTCATGACCTTACACGACATACCCCAGTCATGGCCTTACACAACATACCCTAGTCATGACCTTACACAACATACCCCAGTCATGACCTTACACAACATACCCCAGTCATGGCCTTACACAACATACCCTAGTCATGACCTTACACGACTTATCCTAGTCATGACCTTACTCAACATACCCTAGTCATGACCTTACACAACATACCCTAGTCATGACCTTACACGACATACCCTAGTCATGACCTTACACGACATATCCTAGTCATGACCTTACACGAAATATCCTAGTCATTTGATAATTTTACACAGCGAATGAAGTTTGCTTTGATTGGTGTTGCGTGAACCAATATAAAGAGAAAAATGTAATATTTGAGTGATTAATTTAAGGTTCGTTCCTTTTTCTTAAAGTAAGTTGTTGTATAGTTAATGAAAAGCTGTACACCTGTCCGCCACGAGGAATCGAACCCAGGATTTTGGAGTTGTAAGTCCATATATTTACTACTGACCCACTGGAGTATTTTCGAGTAAAAAAGTCTGTGATCCGTGTTGTTTCCGAAAGTAGCTGTTTTAAGTAATGATACAACTTAACGTCGGTGATAAACCCTCTTCTCGTTATATAAACGTCTCTTTATCAAAGTTATCTCGTGAACAGTAAACAGGTCAAAGTTAAAAACAAGATAAATTCAGACGCCTTTCACCATATCCGAAACAAACAGATAAACTGTGAAACTCATTACGTTAACTTCTATTATTTATCTATTAGCCAAAAGAGTTTCGTTGATAAACAAACTTCTTTCATCACCTTGCGAGAATCAAGCTTCTTACTGGAGACTTTACCTTCTAGAAATCATTACCTGATCTAGCGAGGACTCTTAATGAACGCTTTACCTTCTAGAAATCATTACCTGATCTAGCGAGGACTCTTAATGAACGCTTTACCTTCTAGAAATCTTTACCTGATCCAGCAAGAACTCTTAATGAATGCATGACCGTCTAGAAATCTTTACCTGATCCAGCGAGGACTCTTAATGAATGCATGACCTTCTAAAAATCTTTACGTGATCCAGCGAGGACTCTTAATGAACGCTTTACCTTCTAGAAATCATTAACTGATCTAGCGAGGACTCTTAATGAACGCTTTACTAGAAATCTTTACCTGATCTAGCGAGGACTCTTAATGAACACTTTACTTTCTAGAAATCATTACCTGATCTAGCGAGGACTCTTAATGAACGCTTTACCTTCTAGAAATCATTACCTGATCTAGCGAGGACTCTTAATGAACGCTTTACCTTCTAGAAATCATTACCTGATCTAGCGAGGACTCTTAATGAATACTTTACTTTCTAGAAATCTTTACCTGATCTAGCGAGGACTCTTAATGAACGCTTTACCTGATCCAGCGAGGACTCTTAATGAACACCTTACCTTCTAGAAATCTTTACCT